TGTATAAAATTTATTTGTAAATAAATTGTTACTCATATTAAATATATTTTAATAATATTAAAAAACTAAGAAACTTACAATTATAATTGTAAGGCAGTGCTCTCAAACTAAATGTAAATACTTAAGATAAAAGTTATAACCCTGCATCTCTTTTTAGTGATCCTCAATTCTTTTCTTTTTTTCTTTTTTTATCAGTTAAATCTTATACCTTACTTTCCCTTTTATAAAAGAATGATGCTATCGGCCGGAACACCCTTTCGACGAATTCTTTGCGTCTACTTGTCCGTTTTAAAAATCTTTTTTGATCATATATGCCTTTACTCTTCGGCGAAAAAGTTGAGGAAATTAATTCCACTTGTTAATTTGCTTTTGCCTTCGGTTATTCTACTATTCGTTTCATTGTCCAGAAGTAAGACATCTTTTCTTCATCTATATATACATTCACAATTTCATATCAACATCTTTTCATCAACAAAGTGAGCAATTAATCCAATAGAGGAAAGATATAAAAGGTCATCAGATAGAGGCAAAACCTGAAGGTATAAATCTTTGCTATAATTTTTTTTTTTTTTTTGCTATAATTACGTTCTCTTCAAGGTGTAGATGTAAAATTAAATCTCATAGGCTAATCCTCTACTTGCTCTGCGGAAAAAGACTTCTAAAAATTAGTGTTATGATAACTTGTTAATATACATTTTTATTTCTTAGATTCATACATCAATAAGTCATTTTACTTATTGTAAATGCAAAAGAAATGTAGAGTGAAGAGGAACGTATGATTTACCTCGAAAACCCCAAAGAAAAAAATATCATGCACAAAGAGACTGCTTTCACAGTACCAAAACTGAGTACAACATTAACCCCTTACAATTTTTTTAGTATTTATATATTATTGAGTTTCCTATCTTTACTTGGACTTAAAAACTTAATTATTACTTGTTATAAAAATAAAAACCCATCTTCATTAACTTGGGCCTTGAACTAAAATTTGGCCTATACTCTAAATTGGGGATTGTTGGGCCAACTTATTGAAGTTGAGTTTAAATTACCATCCCACCACCTAATTATTTTTCAAAAGTCAGTTTCTGTTAAAGAAAGTGAACCCATCTCTTTTCATATATATTTTCTATTTTCATCTATTTTATGAGTTATATATTTTTCTCCTCTTGGTCTCAGCTGTTTCGGGACCAAAGATCTGCAATTATAATAGCGTCTGTTTCTTCATTCTAAGTCTTATTAACAATTGTCAAAGCATGTATGATACTTTATTAAATGTATACGACTTAATTAGTGATTTGTGTCTCGGGATTTTGTTATATATTTATAATCATTAATTTGTTTATTTTTTGTTCTTTAAAATTTTGAAAAATATATGGATCTTTTTTTTTTTTTCTTTTAACATTTCTCCAATGCTATCTTTAAGTTAAGAGAATGAAGAAAAGGGAAGAGAGAAGAGGCAAATTATTATTTTTTTATTCTTTTCTCCTATTTTAGATAAATAATTAAATTGAAGGAAAAAATAAAATAAAGAATTTTTTCCCTCTAATTTTTTTAATAATCAAATAAAAATTTCATTTTTCCTCTTCTACTCTTTATTTCTCTCAAGTTAAATATACCATAAATTAATTTGCACCTATCTCTAGCCTAATTCCTCTTTTACTCCCTATTTAGTTAAAGAAACGAAAGATTACCATGGCTGTAATCTCCCCGGCCCCCCTATTTCCAACTCCAAGTGCTCGAAATTGGAAGCAAGCCAATCTTCACAGTAACAGATTTGGCCTTCCTATAATTGTGGTGGATTTCATATTGCCAATTCAGGTCCATTAGTCACTGATCTCTTCTTAGAAGATGACAATAAAGGTTACGGGTTTCAACTTGTCCTTGCATATTGCTGTACATTTCTTTCAATACTTGCTGATGGAGAATTGAACCTATATATTAATATTTTTTGCACAGTTAGTGTATTGCACTTACATAATCTTGATCCAAAAGTTCTAACTAACTATATATGTTGTCATCTGGAATGTAAGAAAATGGTAATGCTTGCAATAGTCACTAAGAAAATAATTTCACAACTAAATCATACTACAGTAATTTTTTTTAATGTTTACAATAAATTACTTCTATTTCATGTAATTCAAAACTAATCCCTAAATATGCAATCTTAAGGTTGCAGCACTACATCAGCTTGTGCTCTAACTGCAAGACTTAAATTCCGTACCTTGCCTGTAAGAAGACTTACTTTTGCTGGTGGTTCCAAACATTGGTTATGGTTCAGTGATTGGTGTCGGTATGAAGATCATCCATATCTTTTGACTATTTGTATATTCATTTCACGGGTTAAAGCCAACTGTTCGTCCCTTTACTATACAAAAAAGTTCAATTTAAACCTTCTACTTTTAATTCACCTTATATCCTTCCTCTATTATTAATTAACTAAACATATCCTCCCCTACCATTAGAAAATGTATCAATGAAGTCCTTCTGTCCAAGTTCTGTCCAATTTTAAGATAACAGTTTATTGACAGTTAACTACCAAACAGTCAGCCATCCAACCCCTTTTTATTTTATTTTTTTTAACAGCTGGGCTTTGATGGGCCCATCCAATGCCACGTCAGAAAGCTGGTGCACTGGTGCCGATTTAGAAAGCTGAGTCAGTTCAGCACCACATAAGTGATACTCCAATTAAATATCATGGAGTTGTATTGTAGGTTAGTCAATAATGAAATTTATTGTTTATTTTATTAATCAATACTTAAAATTTTTAAAAAAATTATAAAATGTTAATTTCTCTTAAGTTAAATAGGTAAATTGTCTTTCAAAATTATTATGTTAAAGTAAATTACCATTTAAAAAAATCATTAATTAGATTTATCACTCTAAATTTATATTTTTTATAATATTAATTTAAATTTTATAGTTACTATCAAATTATTACTTTTGAAATTTAATAAAATGGTAATAGTAATGATTAAATTTGAATCAATTTCTTAAAAATAAAAATTTAAAATGACAAATTATATCAATATTTTTTTGAACAATAATTTATTTCAACGTAATAATTTTATGTAGAAATCCACACTTTTTAATAAATTAAAAAGTCAAGTATATAAAAACATATAAAATTGAAAAAAAAATTATAAAAAAAATTATTTCTATATTATTTTATTTTTTTTAAGAGATAAATATTTTTTCCCTAATTTAATCTGCCTAAAGATTAATCCATAAATGTCAATGACCCCTAATTGGTAATTTAGGCAATAAATAATTATAAAAGATTTGAAGAGGGCAAAAATTTATGTTTTTAAAATAAAAATTGTTTACTCACTAAATTTATTTTCAAATAGGTTGTATCCTATTCATAAATAAATTACGGGTATAGTCAAGGCTACGTTAGTAAAAAATCCATTATCTTTTGAAGTTAAAATCAAAATGTTATTTAATATTTTGATACTGAGAGGTATGTGGAACGCAGTTTGGTGAATGGAAGGTATATTTGTATACAGTATTGCTAACAATCCCTCAAAATTCCTAGACTTTAGGTACAAGCTTAGCTATGTTATCATTCTGATTTGGTTTTATTTTTTTCATTTTTTCTTTAGTTGGGTTTTTATTGAAAAATAGTTTAGGGATAATTTTTTTGTATTATTTTTTAATAAAATTTAACTTGTTATTAAAATAATTAATTTTTTTTTATTTATTTGAAATTTGTGATATTAAATACATATATTTATTTGATGATATATAAAAGTTATATAAAAAAATAATATTGAAAGATTGTTCTTATATCACTACCTAAAAAATAGACATAAAAGTGTTGATTAAAAACAAAAAAAAAATTAAAAAAAAGGATAAATATAAAGGTAGAAGTGCAGTCATAGTCACTAACAAAATTGTTAAACTTATTAAAATAGTGTAAAAAATTATTAATATTATTTAATTTGAAAATTAAAA